TTATTGTGTGTTTATGTGAGTGTGTGTGCATTCGTGTGTGCATTCGTGTGTGTGTGTGTGTGTGTGTGTGTGCATGTATTTATTCCTATCCTGGGACTTGAACTTGGGGCCTAGGTGTTTTCCCTTAACTTTTTTTCTCTTAAGGCTAGCACTCTACTACTTGGGCTACAACTTGACTCTTGGCGTTTTGGTGGTTAATTGGTGATAAGGCGGTAGCATCATGTCCTGCCTGGGCTGGTTTTAAACTCTATCCTCTGATCTCAGCCTCTTGAACAGCTAGGATGGCAGGCAAGAGCCACCAGCACCTGGCTGTTCCAGTTCTCTTGATTCTATTAGTGCATCGAAATAACGAAAGCAATGTGATTCGTGATTTTAAAACAAAACAAAACCCATACGATCTACCTAGCTGGCATTCTGTAGACTTTTCACTGATTTCCCCCTTTGCAGATAGCTGAACTGTTATGCTACAGTCTCCCTGCCCACCCCCCTTTGTGAGATGGAATTTCAGGCTATTAACTTTCCCTTTTATTAATATAAGTGAAAAGCTCTCCGAAGTTCCTTCCAGGCCCAGGACTCTCACCTCTGGGGAACATGTCCAGTTCTCCTATAATTATGTGGTGTGCACCACAGCCTGTGGGACTGAAAGAGAATCTCCAGCCGTGGGGCTCCCCTGGCAGGGGTTCGGCCCCCATGGCGAAGGCAATCTTGCTCTTTGGCCTAGTGTTCTGGAAGTCTGGAAGAAAATCACCTCGCCTTGGCCAACTGATGTCTCTGTGTTATGGCCATGGGGACAGGACGCTGTGGGTTTCCTGGGGCAAGTCTCAGGGGCTGTGTGCAAACACAGAAGGGCTGACCTCATTCCTCAGACCACAGGCAAGGTGCAGGATGGTCTCAGCGCGGCTGCCTGGCCAAACTCCTGACACAGAGGAGAGGCAGGAAAGAGGCCTGTGTGAAAGCATATGGCTTGTGGTTTTCCAAATGTTTTAAATTCTTAATTCAAATATCCCTTGTTATTATCTCTGTGGTAGCCAATAGCATCTCTTTTTAAGACTTCCTATTATTTTACAGCCTCTCTCCCTCTATGGACATCTACAAAGCCGTTTTAGTTTAACTCATTTTTAATTTTAGTTAATTTTTGTGCCAGTCCTGGGGCTCTACATCTTGAGCCATGGCTCCACTTCCCAATTTCTTGGTGGTTCATTGGAGATAAGAATCTCACAGGCTTTCCTGACTGGCCTGGTTTTGAACTGCAATCCTAAGATCTCAGCCTCCTAAGTAGTTAGGATTACAGGGGTGGGCCATTGGCACCTGGATGCCATTTTAATTTTGAACAAAAAGTTCATCTGAGACAAATCCCAATCATTATTATTTTTAAAGACAACTACTTTGCACCCAGTGGGTTTAACTGGGGTTTGTTGAATGACTGAAGGAACAAATGAAGCGATTTCCTGGGAAAACTCAGGGAGAGACGTTTCTTCTCTGTCTGGATGTGCCTGGGTTACGGGCAGAGTGGGTTAAAGCGGAGTTCAGGCTTTCTCTCTTGACTTGAGTCAGGTGAATGTTCTGATTGAAAGGGCGGCGGCGCCCCGGCGTCCCGGCGTCCCGCAGCGGGGCACGGTGGGGGCGTGGGACCCACGCGATGCGCCCC